GATTTAAATTGGATTCTTGACTGGATAGACCTAATAGACAACTACAGAACATTTCACATAATAAGCACAGAATATACATTTTTCTCATCTGCAAATGGAACATTCTGTAAAATTGACCACATGCTTGATCATAAAGCAAATCTAAATACACTCCAAAAAAATTCAAATCATATGAAGCATCTTTTTGGAATACAGTGGGATAAAAGTATAAATCAACACTAAGAGGAATTTTCAAAATTACACAAGTACATGGAAACTAAGCAACTTGCTCCTGAATGGCTTTTGAATAAACAATGAAATTGAGGTAGAAGTAAAAAGTATTTTTGAAACAAATCAGTATAGAGATACAACATACCAAAACCTCAAAGATACAGCAAAAAAAAAACACAAACAAACAAACAAAAAAAAACAGTGTTAAGAGGACAGTTTATAGCATTAAGTGTCTACATCAGGAAGATAGGAAGATCTCAAATTAACAACCTAATATCATATCCAAAGGAACTATACAAATAAGAACAAATCAAACCCAAAGCTAGCAGATGAAAAGAAATAACAAAAATGAGAATAAAACTAAATGAAATTGAGACAAAAAAATACCAAGGAGAAATGAAACAATGGTTCTTCGAAAGGCTAAACAAAATTGATAGAATATTAGCTAAATAAACCAACAGAAAAAAAGAGAGAAGATTCAAATAAGCACAATGAAAAATGGTAAAGGTGATATCACAACTGACAGCACAGAAATCCAAAAGATCCTCAGAGACTACTGTAACCATCTCTATGCATACAAACTAGAAAACAAAGAGGAAATGGATACATTCCTGGAAACATACAACCCCCCAAGATTGAACCAGGTAGACATTGAAATCCTAATCAGACCAATAAATAATTATGAGATTTATTCAGTAATAAAAAAAAATCTACCAACCAAAAAGAAGTCCAGAACCAGATGGATTCACAGGCGAATTCTACCAGACATACAATGAAGAACTGGTGCCAAGCTCATTGAAACTATTCCAAAAAATTGAGGAAGAGAGAGTCCTCTCTAACTCATTCTTTGAAACCAGTGTCATCCTGATGCCAAAATCTGGTAAGGACACAATAAAAAAGTAATACTAAAGGCCAATATCCCTGATGAACAAAGACACAAAAATTTTCAACAAAATAGTAACAAAGTGAATGCAGCAGCACATCAGAAACAAAAATTCATTGTGATCAAGTGGGTTTTATTCCAGGGACATAAGGATGGTTCAACATTTGTAAATCAATAAATGTGGTTCACCACGTAAACAGAATTAAAAACAAAAACAATATGATTATCTTAATAAATTCAGAAAAAAGTATTCAATAAAATCCAACACCCCCTCATGACACAAACCCTCAACAAATTAGGTATCAAATATGTCAAAATAATAAAAGCAGTCTATGTCTATTGAATGGGCAAAGACTGATAGTATTCCCCTTTAGAACTGGAACAAGACAAGGATGCCCACTCTCACCATGCCTATTCAGCGAAGTACTGGAAGTGCTAGCCAGAGAAATCAGGCATGAGAAAGAAATAAAAAATATCCAAATAGGAAAAGAAGAAGTCAAACTATCTGTCTTTACAAATGATACAATTCTATACCTAGAAAACTCTAAAGACTCCGCCAAAAGATTTCTGGAACTAATGAATGATTCAGTAAAGTTTCAGGATACAAAATTAATGCACAAAAGCTGTTGCATTTATGTACACCAACAAAGCTGAAAGACCAAATCAAGAACTCAATCCCATTTACAACTTCCACAAAAAACAAAAACAAAAACAAAAACCTAGGAATACGTTTAAACAAGGACATGAAAGGCCTCTACGAGTAGAACTACGAAACACTGATGAAAGAAATTGCAGATGGCACAAACAAATGGAGAAACGTCCCATGGTCATGGAAATGAAGAACCCATGTCATTAAAATTACTACCACTTGAAACAATCTACAGATCCAATACAATTCCTAATACATTATATCATTTTTCACAGAAATAGAAAAAATAATTCAAAACTTCATATGGAACCAAAATGGAGCTAAAATAGGCAAAGCAATCCTAAAGGAAAAAGAACAAAGCTGGAAGCTTCACATTATCCAACTTCAAACTATACTACAAGGTATAGTAACCAAAAAAGCATGGTACTGGTACAAAAACAGATACATAGATCAATGGAACAGAATAGAGAATCCAGAAATAAATCCACATACCTATAACCTATTGGTCTTCAACAATATCAACAAATATTAAAGATGAAGAAAGGACTCCTCATTCAAAAATGGTTCTGGGAAAACTCGCTAGCCACATGCAGGCAAATGAAATTGGACCCCTACTTCCACCATATACAAAAATTAACTCAAGATAGATTAACGACTTAAATGTAAGACCTGAAATTATAAAAATTCTAGAAGAAAACCTAGGAAAAACTCTTATGGACATTGGTGTAAGCAAAAGATTTATGACTACGATCTCAAAGCAAATGCAACAAAAACAAAAGTAGACAAATGGGGCTTAGTTAAACTAGAGGCCTTCTGCACAGCAAAAGAAACAACCAACAGATTAAACAGACAACCTAGAGAATGGGAAAAGATATAGGCAAACTATGCATCAAACAAAGGACTAATATTTAATCTATAAGGAATTTGAACTCCAGTGAGAAAGAGAAAATAACCCCATTAAAAACTGAGCAAAGGACATGAACAGATGCTTCTCAAAAGAAGACATACATACGACCACCAAACATATGAAAAAATGCTCAACATCATTAATCATCAGAAATATACAAATCAAAATCAAATGAGATACCATCTCACACCAGTCAGAAAGGCTATTATTAGAAAGTCAAACACTAACAGATGTTGGTAAGTATATGGAGAAAAGGAAATGCTTACACACTGTGGGTGGGAATGTAAATTAGTTCAAACCCTGCCCTCCGCCATGGAAAACAGTATGGAGCTTTCTCAAAGAACTAAAAAGAGAACTACCATTCAACCTGGCAATCCCACTACTGGGTATCTACCCAAAGGAAAAGAAATCATTTTATCAAAAAAAAAAAAAAAAAAAAAAAAAACTCCTGCAGTCTTATGTTTATCACAGTACTATTCACAATAGAAAAGTCATAGAATCAACCTAAGTGGACTGGATAAAGAAAATGTACTATATATATACCATGGAATATTACACAGCCATAGAAAAGAATGAAATTATGTCTTTTGCAGCAACACGGATGGAGCTGGAGGTCATTATTTTAAGTGAATTAATTCAGAAATAGAAAGCCAAATACCACATGTTCTCACTTATAAGTGGAAGTTAAGCAATAAGTACACATGGACATATAAATGGAAATAATAGACACTGGGAACTCCAAAAGTAGGGAGGATAGAAGATGAGGAGAAAGTTGAAAAACTACCTACTGGGTACTATTTTCACTATTTGGGTGATAGATTCACTAGAAGCCATACCCTAGTATTAATCAATATACCAACGTAATAAAAACCTGCACATGTCTCCCCTGAATCTACAATAAAATAAAAATTATTTAAAGTAAATTTAAAAAATGGATTCATAATTGAATTCCCCTTATTAAGAAAAAGAGAAATTAAAATATCCAGTTTTCACCCTGAATTTTCAGCATCGACCTATTTCTTCAAACTTGTGATCTAATAACAGAAAAATGTATAATGCTACTTCATTCTTTTAAAAATCATGTTATTTCTTTAGCTCCATGCTAAAAAGAATATAGTTATTTTGAAGCATATGTTTAAGGTAATAGATGTCATTCCATTAGTAACACTTTTTAAAAATCTAACACATTTGTAACTGAAATTATTTCCAAAAATTCAAAATAAAAAGTAATACAACTAGACATTTGTCAAAGACTTCCAATAAAAATCACTTATATTTCCACCTACTTAGAAGAAATTGGCTAAGCAAATATTGCATGATACAAAAAAATAAGAGATTTTTGTAAAACCTTTTATATTAACTAAAAGTCACAATTACGAATAATTTAACTACACTGAGGCTTTAATCTTAGTGAATATCAAATTAAAAGATAAATATACAAATTTGTTTCAACTCTTTTGTTATCATTTTGTTATAATATCACAACACTTCTCATCCATATTTTCTTGTATATCTTTTAATTTTCTCTATACTGAGACAACGGTCACATCAATTCATCAGTTTGCAATGAAAGATAATTAAACTTCTAGAGAACATTGACCTGGTAATTTAATAAGCATCCACCATCAAAATATTTGTTCTTGTCACCTGATTTTGCAGGTAAATCTGAACATGTAATAGCTTTAAATTGCTGGTTTGTTTTGGGTGGAGATCCAAAATGTATTCAAAGATATATTTCATGATAAATCCTCATCCATATTAAAACTACACTAATGCCATGAATTTCAATTTGTGGGTCAAACAGTTAAGAAAATGAAAAGAAGAAGGAGAGGAAAGAGGAGAGAAAAGGAAAAGAGGTGGGAGAGGAGGAAGAAGAAAGAGAGGGAAAAGGAGAGAGGAGGGAAGAAGAAAGAAAAGAGGAGGAGATTGAAGAGAGAATAGGGAAGAGGAAGAAGAGAAAAAGGAAGAAAAGAATGAATAGAGAGGAGAGGAGAAAATAGAAAAAAAGTAGGAAAAAGGAAGACAGAGGAGGAAGAGAAAGAAGAGTAGAAGTGAAGGGGAGAGGGAGAAGACAGGAGAGGAGGAGGGAGAAAGAAAGAGTAGAGAAGGGAGAAGGAGCCAAATGGCTAAATCTATTTTCTGCAGATAAAAGTATCAGTGCTTATTTGGTAACATAAGCTTAAGCTAAAGCCAGTAGAAGGGAGGAGGAGAGTAGAGGGAAGAGGAAAATTAGGAGAAAAGAGGAAGAAGAACAGAGGAGGGAGGCAGATGAGGAGAAGGGGAAGATTTTATTCTCTGGTCTATATTCAAGTCAAACACTTAGATTTTCTTTTTCCTTAAGGCTAACTCACCATTGCAGTTGCCATTGGATAGGGAATTGAGCAACGTGTTTTGTTCACACTAAAATAAAAACAAACATTAAGAAGAAAAATGTTATAAAATTTTACTTCTGTCTGAAAAAAATCACATCATTCTTTTATTTAGAAAGAATAACAAAAAAACTAGTCTCCAAAATTATTTTTCACTAGCATTCTTTTCAGAATAATGTATAAAACAAACTTTGAAATAATAAAATGATAATTAATTCTAAGTATATAGCAATTCAGCAAATAATTTATGTTATCAGTAAGACTGTCTTCTTCAGAATATTTCCTGCAAGACTAAGTTTGCTTTGATTTTGGATTAGAAATTAAACATTTGCACATTTTTAAAGTAGCATATTCAATCAGAAATCATCTTTATTAACATTGCATTTTAAGAGGGAGAACCACTGATCATATATATTACCACTACATGAAAATGCTGGATTAAAAAACAAACAAAAAAACAGCTCTGTATCCTACAGTTAATCTTGTCGGACAATAATTGATGCCTCTAACGAGATCATGTGCTATCAACTTCACAAATAATGTACTATTGCTATTTTTGTTAATCATGATGATAGCAGTTGATATTTCTTCAGTCCTCACTGTATGCCAAGGACTTCACACTAATTATTTAATCCTCAGAAAAATTGTATGAAGTGACAAATTTTATTTTTTATATAAGAGAGTCAAAGATTAAAAAGGTTAAATAACTTCACCAAAGTCACAAAGCTAGTAAGAGCATGGGTTAGAAGCAAAGTTCATGCCCTTCCAATTCCAAGCCTCTTGTTCCCAACCACTACATTACACTGCTTCTCTCACAAGATGAGTTTTTATCTTAAAGGCTGACTAGAGAACCTCTGTTTTTCTCTTCTTTATAGCCACAGCTTATGTATTTTAAGCCTGACTCACAGTTATCAGCTATACAATTTCCATCAGGTTATTTTATCTCTCTCGATTTCTACCTCCCTTTTTATGTAACATTCAGGTAATGCCACTTACATCTCAGGGCTGGTGATGATTAAGTTAGCCTGACTAAAGGGACTGGCCCCTGAGAGATATTCAGTGAACTTGAGTTTCCTTTCCCTTGTCTTAAAAATACCTCATCTGAAATCTCCCATGGAAAAGAACTTCAAAATAATTTATGTAGATATTCGACCGTTAAGGTGGTGGATCATAACTCCATGCTTCTTAAGTGTGGGCTGCACACAGTGACTTTCTTCCGGAGAGCACAGAATAAAGAGAAGGGAGTCACTTTACAGTGGAGAAACCTGGCAAACACTCCCTTATCCAGGTGATCAAGGTAGAATAAACATGTTGATAAAGCATGTTGATTGTAGGTACCCTTGATACAGTGTGATGAGAAGGGCACTTTACCTCTATAGTTTTCCTCCCAAAAGGGGCCCACGCTTAGAAAGGTCTCCAATCTGGTTTAATGATATTCTGTCACCATCTTGAAATTCTTAATAATTGTCGAACAGGGGACCTCACATTTTCATTTTGCACTGGGCCCCTGTAAATTACGTATCTGATCCTGTATATAAGGCTTCTGTGGTACAAATTAGGGTAAGGCCCAAAGGCAGAAGTGTGAAGCTGTAAGGGACAAGAATGTGATTCAGGACAGCTCCTAAGACATCAGAAATGGGAGGGTCAAGATCTTCTATGTACCCAGAACACTGGGAATAAGTAGCTCAAGGACACAAGAAAAAGAAGCAATCCTTGTGCTCTAGAGGAGTCAAGGAAAGTTTCACGGAGATAGTAGTCAACCAAACTAATAATGCTAACTAAGATGTTACAGTGTTGAGTAGGCCAAGCACTATTCTAAATGCTTTGCCTTCATTGACTCATTTAATCATCTCAATTACATGTGAGAAAACTGAAGAACAAAGATTCAACAACTCAAAGTTCCACAGGTAGTAAGTGGCATACCCAGGCAGCTTGGCCTCAAAGTCCACACTCCTAACATTACAGAGGGCTTAAGGATTCAAATGATAATAGGTAGCTTAATTTATATTAAATCATACTGATGCTGATTTGATTCAGTATCTCTGTTAATTGACAGTATAAATGGAGATAAAGAATTTTGGAATTTTATAATAATATTATTAAAATGATTGCAACAGTTTATGCGTCTCTGAAGTCATTTATCATATTCCATCACGTTTAGAGTTAGTTCTAATGCCTTTTTTTGGTTTAGAAAAAATATATTTTTGGCCAGGTGCGATGGCTCACACCTGTAATCCCAGCACTTGGTAGGCCAAGGCGGGCGGATCATGAAGTCAGAAGATTGAGACCATCCTGGCTAACACCATGAAACCCCGTCTGTACTAAAAATACAAAAAAACTAGCCGGACCTGCTGGCGGGTGCCTGTAGTCCCAGCTACTCAGGAGGCTGAGGCAGGAGAATGGCGTGAACCCGGGAGGCGGAGCTTGCAGTGAGCAGAGATGGCGCCACTGAACTCAGCCTGGGCGACAGAGCAAGACTCTGTCTCAAAACAAAAATCCATTAAATTAGATCATTTGTCTTATTTATTCTTTTCAGTGCTATAGTACCTGCGACTCATGTCCATTAAATATATGCTGAATAAATGAATGAATGAACAAGAGAGTGATTATCTAAAAATCAACTAAAAGAATCAAATAATCGTAGGTTTTGCTAAAAGGAGAGGTCTCGAAATACTTGTGTGATGTATTATTACTTACTTGATACATGTTTTATTGTCATGATATAAGGTTACATGTAGTATGACATTCTAATCAAACCACTGATCCTACCTTGCTGATATCATCAAGTGGCTGATTACAGGCATTTTCCTTTTGGATTATGTTCATTAAATCAGTATAAAATTTTTTTGCATTCAGGAAAACAAGCGGGTTGTTTATTGAGATAATTTTCACCTGCTGCAGGGTTTCCTTTTAGAGGAGAAAAAGAAACAGATTTAGAACTCTGAATTAAATAATAGAGAATTATAGCCAACAAACAATCAGGTCTAAATGTCACTCAGTTTTATGAGCAATCTCTCAATTAACATTTTGATTACTAAAATGCATTTAGAGGCCTTAATGTACTATCACAATTCCTTATGGGAAATACATATTTCCTGTTTACTAAGAAACATTAATAATGGCAAGATAAGTTGGCAGCATTTCAGAAAGTGGCCCTTATTCCTCCAAGCTGGTTTTTTTGGGAGGCAGTAGCCTAGACTATCCAAAGAGGTCAAGGAAGTCCTAACCTTTCAAAAGTATTTATTTTATTCAATCTATCAATTAAAAATTAATTTACTTAACCATCAGTATTTTTTTTTAATGAAAATGTGTCCTAAAGGGTCAACCATCAGTCATTTACCTCATAATGACATAGCTTTCCTTCAGCTGAAATACTTTACAAGTGATGAATAGTTGTAATTTGAAGACAGAGACCTACAGGTAGTAGTAGGAATATAACTTCACTTTGGGCAGGCCTAGGGACTGGATTGCTGGGATGTGGTGAGCGATGCGGAAAGGAAGAAGGAAAAGTTTTGACACAAAAGGTGTCTGCTTTGCCCATTTTCCCATCACTTGGTGATGTGCAACTAAAACAGTCTTCTCTATGACCTTTGGGGCAAGTGTCTGATCTAGAAATGGAGAGGAGGGTAAATTCTACAAAATGACAACTCTTTATCAACTAAGTAAGCAATACTCTTTCAGGCTTTACTTCCATTGTAGAGGAGATGCAAAGAATAGCGATGCATACAGACAGAGGACAGAGTATGAAAGAAAGAAAATATTAAGTATGTTAATTTGGACAATTCATTTAACTTCTCTCAGTTCCCTCATTTCCAAAAATGAGACAAATGTTTAAACTAGAAAATCTCAAAAAGCTCCTATAGTTACAAAACTGATTGAACTTTGCAAAGTGAGGATATTTGCAACAAATAACTCAAGAAAACAAACAGACCTTAAGTTGTCAAACTAATGTTCGGACAAGAGTAAACCTCTTAGAAACAAAAAATAAAAATTAACTCTTAGGCCTGTCATATTAGTCATCCCAAAGCACCAAAGCTTAGCCTGATCCTCTAATCACACTACATCAAACTTGTCCAAGCCGTGGCCCGTGAGCCACATGCCGCCTAGGATGGCTTTGAATGCAGCCCAACACAAATTCATAAACTTTCTTAAAACATTATGAGACTTTTTTTTTCCAATTTTTGTTTAGCTCATCAACTGTCATTAGTGTTAATGTATTTTATGTGTGGCCCAAGACAATTCTTCTTCTAGTGTGGCCCAGGGAAGCCAAAAGATTGGACAACCCTGCACTACGTGATTGTGCCAGTGTGCTGTTTTAAGTTAATATGAAAAAAATGTATTTGTTAAAGAATAGAGATTCAAATTGTTCTAGAAAAGAAATTATCAGTGAGGTTAAATTCACTGAGTGGGAAGAGATCTCTCAAATCACGAAGGGTCATTTCACATGAAGAAGAGGTGGAAGAGTGCATAAATGGAAAAGGTAAATGACAGATTATTTTAATTTAGCGAAAATTCCACCTGAGAACTTACATTCAACTCTTGCTTTATCTTAGTTTTGTCCCTCTTATTTTTTATTAAAAAATTGAGAAATTAGAGAGATGTAATATTATAATAAAATTTAAATCTCCATGTGAAACAGTTATTATTCAGGTCAGTGACTAGACTGAAATCAATCAAGACTTAAAGATGTGGAGAAATTTCTAGCATTTTCATCTTCCTGCAAATCCCCTCATTCACTTCTCTACATGTTTAGCCCAAGAAGTAGTTAAGGATTAGACAATTTATTAAACAGTGATTTTTAAGCTGAAAATAGTCAAATCCAAAGCCAAATTCAGTCTCAAAGCTAAGGAGGTCAGGGCTAATACATGTGTACTTGTGGTGTGGATACACAGGGGACTTCAGGGGCCCAAAAGTCAGTCTGGGGCTTTGCACAAGCACTAAATTCCCATGGAAAAATTAAGGAAAGAAACAAAAGGCAAAGTTGGTGGAAAACTTGAGCCTAGAACACCCTGGAAGGCTCTGAACCCAAATAGCTCTCTGTGAAACAAATCTTTCCATAGTATTAAAAACATAAGCCATTCCCTTGGGTGCTGCAGAGGGTTCCTGATGCTACTTCCTATTTCCAGTCTATTTGGAAATACCCTGACACTGGTCCTTCTGGTGGGAGGCCAGTTTACTCTATCCTTAGGGGAATTATGAGATACTGAAACAAGTGTATGTGAAAAATAAAGGGAAAAAGGTTAGTCAAACATTTACAAAGCAGGTTCAAAATGAGGGCAATTTTTTTTTAATTGGCAAAAATATTTCAAGTCAACATTTTCCCCCTCACTTTAAACTGTTATAGTCATCCTTTAGAACAACAAACTAGAATTCAGACATAATCAATTGGCTTTCCAAAGCATGAGCAGAGCAAGACTGTTTATACAAGTTGTGTCCTTAAAAAGGTTCCCACTGTGTAAGAAACCAATTCTATTGGCATTCTGTAGCCATTGGACTGAATTACCCTCTGCTAACATACAGTTGACTGAGTTTTTAAAAAAAAAAAAAAAAAAAAGCAATACCATGAACCAAATTTGCTTCATTCCCTTTCCTATTTCTATCTTTCTCCATGACTTAATTCAGAATAGACTATCAGTTTAGTTTGATTACTTTATGCAACTCAGTAATGGAAAAGAGGTGTCCAAATGCCTGAATCAATCTTGGCCATGATTCTACAGTGAACTGTGGTTCTAGGAACCATGCTACACTTTTATCTGAATGCTGGATCCAAAGAGATTTTCTTTTGTTCTATTGATTTGTTGCATGTCGTTTGCCACATATATTGTGATCACATATGTACCATTCGAAGTTTATACTAATTAAAAACAATTATATTTTTACTATCATAATTTATCTAATTTTTGTGATATCTTAAAATTATCTCACCCACAAAATGATTAACAATTGCATAAAGGAAAAGTAAAACTAAACTTACACTGTCCATTTCTGTCTTCACTTTAAATTCCATTTCTTTCATGTTTTTTATACTTAGAGTCATTGCTCTAAAATTAAAGCAGATAGAAAACAAAACAAGTCATTTCCTAATCATTATATAAACAATGGAGAAACCAAAAGTAGTCATTTAATAACTAGAATGTGTCTGAAATGATTTATATTCTATAACCCATTTGTTCATAAGAGGACATTGGTAAATCTCTATATCTCTAGGATATTTGGGGATAGAGGTTAACAACAGAGGCATATAAGTAGAGTCCCATCTCTCCAAGCTACTACATGTGGATTAGTAAAGAAGAATTATAAAAGAGAAAAGGCAAGAGAGTATGCAGCATTGATAAAATACTGTTTTAATGAAAAGCAAGAAAAGAAAGAATCAATGGCAAGATAGGACTGGATAATATTGAATCTGAATATATAAATTCTATAAAGAAAGACTCTATAGAGATAAAACAACATTTTTTAGAATACATTATGTCACAAATAACTTTAAGGGAAAGATGGATGTGAAGTAAATAGAAACATTATTCCCAGATGAATACTTTGTAAAGCAGAAAAAGCATTGGTCAGACTAGGGAAATGATTTATAAATTTTCAGTAAAATGACAAAAAGAGAGTGTGTTTCTCAATAAATTATCTAGAAAATAGATTAATCTGACTTCTGAAAAATAAAATGTTCTGAAGTTATTTAATTTTCCAAATAATTATATTGTGAAATGATTTGTGATCATTAGCTACTAACTCTCTTCACTTAATTTAAAGAAATCTCTCTATAACGCAGTATAAGGCTAGGGGTTTATTTATTTTAAAAGAGTTTATATATTCTATTTTATAATGTTGATAAGCTATTTATCTTCATTAAGATCAACATTGTTAAATATCATATGCAGATAAAACATTTTCTTATCTGTTTGTCCCTAGTTCTCTGACAGCAAGAAAAACATGAGATTGTAGTACTATATGTTACACAGAAATAAAAGTAACTAGCAAGTACCATATGGCAAGTAACCATGTATTTTGCTGCTGTGTCAGAATGAACAGAGCATTTAGATAGGGTCCTACCTTGGGAAGCGTCCTATCACTATAGCTATGGTACAAACAACACCAAACAGCAGTCCCACATTGGCAGCAAAGCATATTGTAAATACATATGTACTGACCCATATGCCCTGAAAGAGAAACAAGAAACAGAAGTTGTGAATCCTTTGGAATTCACTTCTTTCTCATGATTGCTAAGTTCTTCACAATTGTATTCTTAACACTCTTGTGACCAGATCTCTCAGCAAGAAGATACTACTTAACAAGTGGTAAATAGAAGTTCAGAAATACAGAAACAAATCCTGCTCCATCAGACTCTCAGCAGCAAAGGTGGGGAAAAGTTTCTTCTTTTATTTCCAGACACTGCCAACCCTTAGTTCAATCCCCAACAAACACTATATTTAAGATCTGTAAATAGTTGGTTGATGTGTATGGTTCAAAAGCATGCCATGATTTCCCTCTGCTTTCTCATTTAATGTAATATTATTACAAGCAATTGTGTACAGATTTTTGGTCATTCTCAACAATATTTTGTCTTCTAGGACTGCCATAAAAATAACTAATGTCATTTATTAATACATAAGGCTCAGGAAGCCTAATTTTAAAATGACTGAGTCAAACAATGCTGCCAATGCCACTTTTAGATCAATCACTATAGAGATCATTATAATTTTATTTGTAAGGGGCCATTCAGTATGAAAGCTAAAATATAAGGGCCAACTTGGTTTTTGGGAACATTTCAAAAGATTACATGAAACTCTAATTCTCTTTTAGTTGGAATACCAAAGTTATTGCTGTTTTGTTCACCACTTAAAATTATAATTTGCAACAAGATGTTGTATTATAGTTGGAATATCTAAGCTTAGTGCTGAAAAAATATATTTAAAAGCAAAATAATTTGCGAAATACAGGTTATATTTTCTTAACACTAAATCCTGCATTTATCAAACAGTAAACAAACAATGTTTTTAACCTCTGTCTTTTCCTCCCAAAACTTGCAGCACTTTGCCTCTGACTGCAATTCTAAATTTGTTTATTTCTGTCCCAATAGCTATATTATCACTTTAAAACATCTTTGAAAACATATTTTAATTCCATACACAAATGAGGAAGTTAGAAGCGTTTCTGTATTCTAAAAATAGCAGAATCCTGGGGAGGGAAGGAGTGTAAATGTTTTTCAGACAAATCTGAAATAAATATTTCTAAAGGGCTCTTTTTTGTTGCTGTTTTTGAAATGCTTCTCCTTTGTCTGGATTATTTATCTACACTAAGTTTGAGTGATTCTTAACAGGTTTTTTTGAAAAGCCAAGCCCTTGGAAGCAAATGGAGGGAATTTTATCCATAAAATTCCTTTTGATGTAGGACAAACAAACATTCTGGAGTAAAAGAGAAAATGCAATTTAAATGAATGTCATGTTAAGATCCATCATCTACAAATGTAATGCTAGGTTATTACTTATTATGAGATAATTCCCAGCTGAGATGGTTTTTCTTTATTCAGGTGAACACATAGCCATTTGAGTCTTCTGTTTATATATAGAGTGTTTTTTTCTTCCTGGTGTATTATGCTATACTTAATCATATACAAAACAAGGCTGCAAGTTTTTGACCATTATTTTAGCTTTCCATGATGACTCTGAGTTTTACTCATTCTCAAATGCTAACTGAATCTGCCCAAGTGTGGCAGAATAATACCTCACCAAAAGCTTTATAAGTCTAATTCCTCTGGGCCATCCTCACACGATTCAATATGGCATAGGGAACTAAGGATCCTGGTCCCTGCCACTTAAAAAACCATAGAGCCTGGAGGCCAGAATTCATCAGAGCAACCAGAAATTTTGGTACCATCTGGTTCTATTTTTAAAGCATATTTACTCTCCCACAACATCATCTACTATAAGTTGGGCTTTCCAAATGCTTACTTATTTCCTGGGGCTACCTTTATAGCTTTGAAAAAATATCAAATGGAAATTAATAACAGAGACCAATAAATAGTTCCATTAGTTAGAATAAATCCCAATAGCATTCTGTAATAATTCCTGTTAAAGACTCAAATGCTAGTTGTCACAGTTATCAAGAATTAGTTGACTCTTGGGCCCCTATTTTTTATTTTTTGTTATGTGTTCCTACTTGCTCTCTTCCCTATTTGGTACTCACAGTCCCCAAACACAAACTAACCCCAGTGTTGACCTTCAGTAGGGGACACAATCCTTTGTCTTTGTAGAAAATACATCGGCATAAAGCACAGTTTAACAGCTACTAAATTACCTCACTTCCCCCTAGCCTAACTATTCTACTATCTGTTTTTGTGGCAGATCCCTATTATTAAATTTTTACAGATCTGAATTCTGTATCCAATGTTCAGCTATTCAAACTCAGTTCTGAGCCAATGAGTCTCCATTTGGACACCTATTTTCTCATAACTTCAAAGAGGGTTTTGACTAACAACTCAAAATAGCATCAATATTAAACTGTTAGGCCTATTGTGGGGAGGGGGGAGGGGGGAGGGATAGCATTAGGAGATATACTTAATGTAAATGACGAGTTAATGGGTGCAGCACACTAACATGGCACATGCATACATATGTAACAAACCTGCACATTGTGCACATGTACCCTAGAACTTAAAGCATAATAAAAAATGTAAAGAGGTGAAACAGTTTCTAATTTTCCATGTGATGACTATGTACATGATATTTTAAACTTTAAACCTTCAAATTAGTTTACACACACACACACACACACACACACACACCCATATCTTGGATAATTTTACTTCCATGATATTCTAGGCATAGTCCATCTATTTAGTAATCTAGACATTATACATATTGGGTATATAGCCTATATCCTCAAAAGTCTGTGCAATATTCATACTTTGAATGCTGTGCCCAATAGTCCAATAATCCTTTGAATGCTATGCCCAATAACCCAATAATCCATGGCTTTTCACTGTTGAATCCCTTGGCAACTAAGAGACACCTATTCACTCCAACCACAGAAGGCTATTTTCAAGCTAAACCCAATGTCCCACTGAATCATCATGCACCTGATATATCCACGTCACCTTTCTCACACCGTATCTTTGCCTGCACCCTATTGCCTACTTACTCCAAGTATTTAACTATCACATCTAAGTAGGAGACTACAAATTCTAAGCTCTTAAACAATTTTTTAGCTATCAAACACCTTCAAACTTAACATGTCCAAATGCGAACTCATTAACTTCACCCCAGAATCTGTCCTTCCTCCAATGTTCTCCTTCAGTTATAACACTAATATCCTTCAATACACTCTAATCAGAAGGTATGGAATCATATTTTACTTTTCCTCCTCTTTAATCTACCTGTCCAATCATTTCACAAGTTCTATAAATTGTTAAGAAAAAATATCTCAAGTCATATCCTTTTCTCAAATTATTAATGATACTTTAGTTCACACCGTTCCTTTCCTCAACTCTTTTGACAGTGTCTTACATAACTCTCTGTTTTGTTATCTGCATTGTAAACCACCTGCCATACTACTGCTAGAATTAATGTTCTAAGTATAGATTTGGATATCAGATTTAGAGAGTATATTAAAGGCATTTTAACTCAACCCTCCTCTATTAAAATCCACCCAAAACAATATAAAATGTGAATACAGAAGGGAAAAAATCAGCATCAATGAAGCCAGAACATGGTCAAAACTTCTAACTACAAAATACGATATAGACTTGCCAAATACTGTGAAATTTGGGTGATAATCAAGGAGGACACTCGAAGCCAACAAACTTATCCTCAGAGCTCAATCAAGTATAGATTTTTGCTTAAATGCCAGAATCCTGAAAATTCTGTACAATAATCTGGTAAGAGCTTTTAGGGGCAACAGCTTCTAAGTTCTAAAGTCAAAGATGGGCTACCAGAGAAAAATGAAATGTACTCATAGAGATTTATTTGATACCAGAGGACTGCAGAGTGAAAGGCCATTTGTATCACTTACAATCTGACTTCCTAAGTAAAGGTGACTGCAGGAAGTGCAAGATGAAGAATGGAGAGATGACAACAGCGTGAGATCACCAGTGAACCTATGATTTCTGAGGCTTTGCTTCAATGATCTAAATCAGAACTGCGGGCTGCTCTACCTCATTTCCAACCTCTTGCTCTCCCTATGTTGTTTTCCAGCAAATAGGTCCCCTAAAAAATGCATTACAATTCTAAATAAATCATCAAGGGCCCTATTCATGGAAATGAGGAAAATAAAGAAAGAAAATAATGAATAAGAGGCAAAAGATAGATTCGGATATGTAATAGGCAATATAATCTCAGGAAAAAAACCTTAAATATAAAAATTCAAAGAAGGAATGATCAATGAAAAACAGAAAAACAGAAGGAGATAAAAAGCAGGCAGGCTAGAATAATACAGGAAAGAAAATGAATGAAAATAAAAGCCATGTTTAAAATTAAGAAGTAAGATAATCACAACTAGAAATACATAATCAGAGATATGTGACTAGTCCAAAGAAATCACTTACACAGAAAAACAAAATAATCCTGGGAAAATATTTAGATATGAAGGAAAACAAAGTAAAAACAAATAGAAAATTCACTAAAAAGACAGCAGAATACATAGATTTGAAAAAATATTCAAAGATAAATTAGAAGAAAAATTTTGTAAATAATTCCTGATTATGAGATCAAAAGATTATGTCATGCTCAGAAATTTGAAACTGAGTGCTCAACCACAGTAATATTCTGATAATAGTACCAAACTTCATGAGTAAGAAGAAAGAACTTCATTGGGCATCCATGTAGAAAAACAAGCTTACTTATAATAACAACAAAAAAAATTATGAGGGATAAAATCTACTTTATCCCTCACTGGTGTTCCTAAATAGAAACTCAGAAGTCTTTCCAACTGATCCACATTATATAATGAACTGGTGGTGAGGACTAACAAATACAATCTCTTTGATATTTTTCATCTGATTTTTTCTTGTACTTCATGGTCTCAGCCTTGGTCTAGGCCTTCCTCATTTATATGCCTGAAGGTCTAAAGCAGTGCTCCAATTTCTGTATATTTCACCAGTTTGATCCGTCTTCCTCAAACTACTCAAGTGACCTTTCTAATACATTTTATTCTTATTTCACCTTTCAGTGATGTCTCACTGCCTTCATAATGAAATCAAATCATATTTGTAAGACATGAGTTGCCTTTCCCAATCCAACCCATTCTTAACTTTTCCAGTATCATCTGTCACTACTTGCATCCTCACATTATATGTTCTACCCATGCCAAATACCACAGGGTAATCAAGTAGCTTGTTGAGAAAGTTTGCATCTTCTCATTTCTTTGTTTCTATGAGCCACCTAACATATATCACCTTTAAAAAGTCATGGTTAATTTTGGCCTCTTGTTCTGCCTACAAAATACTGTTCCTTCAAGTCTCAGTTCATATTTCAACTCTTCTGTGACAGTCTTTCATGTTAATCAGTCCAAATTAAATGTTCCTGCCTCTATTTTCCCCAAAACTAAGCTCCTACTTTTCCCTCCAGGTCATGTTGTATCCTGTCTTGCATAATAAGTTAGTGTTTCTGTGTCTACTTCCTGCACAAATAACTGTCTGGAGAGACTGGACAGTTCTTTTTTCATCTGCACATTCCTCATGGTGCCCAGCATTGTACTTTGGTAGGAGCTCAGTAATACTGAGCCCCAGGAGGAATATTATGAAAGTAGGCACCAGCATAAATAATATCCCAAAATTTCTCAGAGAAAATGATCTGAAGAAGAGAAAATGTGTATTTCATATTAATAATTATATTTCAATATGGTGACTGTCATAGTAAAGCTAAACAGAGGGTACTTATGAAGTACGTCTCCCATATTGGAGAGGGAGAGTATTCTGGATTGCTCTTCCATAGATAGGTTTCTCTAGAATCAGTGGGCTATTTATGTTAGTAGAAATCATACTTTATCATGGTTCAGTATATTTTAATCTGTTTCAAGCATGGTCCTCTTAATGTAACCCATTTAAAAGGCAATTCATGACACCTTTTGTATTTAGAATGAAAGTGGTCACCATTAAGAGGTTCACCCTATATGCACGCAGCATGCATTCTTAGTGATTAATGATAGTTTTTCATACAGGTTATAAATTGTCACATTTCTATTAGTGCCTATTTCCCTGGTAAGTCTTACTTCCAAAATTAATTCATATTGTAAATTAGACATCCCAAATTCACTGAAATTATTAGCATTTCTTTAAAAGTTCTCAAACTACACATTCATCAAAATTTGACCAAACTCTATTTCTGTTTCATATATATTTCAATGCTTTTATTAAGATTTTGGAAAAAATAAATGGTAGTTTGTAAAGTGTACAAGTCTCAAATGGCTAAATCTATCTGCTGCAAATAAAATTATTAGTGTGTATTTGGTAACATAAGTTTAAGCAGAAAAGGGATAGTTTTAGGTCAAATTTCTACTTACCCAATCGATTTTATCCACATTCCAATATTTTTTTAAATCTCGGAACTGTATTAGCATTCCCTTCAGTCCCACAACAATAATGCTTGCAAGGACACACTAGAAATAAAATGTAAGTTGAAGATGAAGCAACATAAAAATTGTAACGTAAATTTAGAAGGGCCAAGGTATTTTATTGTTTTGTTTTTAAAGTACTTAATAGAGAAAAGCAATCACCAATTAGAAGACAAAAGCAATGTTTGTTTTGTTTAAAACTAACCTATCATCGTACTTTAAGAAAATAATATATATTCTAGAAATTCATAAGGTAATATTTGTATAATTCTAAACAATAAGAACAAAAAGAAAATAAGTAAATTGTAAGGGTGAATGTCATGAAGCTCAATGCCCTCTTAACTATACATATTCATGGTCATTTGTTTGAAATGTATTTGTTGCATGAAATTAAATATGTACATCATATATTTTCTTATAATTGCCTTAAATGTCAATTATCTGACTTCACCTGAAGATATTTATAACTCTCTTGAAAAGCAAACTTGATTATTGGAAGATCCTCCCATGGAAATGGTTTATTCTCACTACACACGTGAAAAATTAGAATAACAAAGGATGGAGACTGGCTCTCATAAGCCCAGTGTTTTGCATTCCTTTGGTGCCTCAGCCTTATGAAGAAGAAGGTGAAGCACTGGCACTAATGTTCTGAGTCACTTTATATAACAGACATATCAACAGCGGGAAGCTGTATTTTGTTTCCTATTTCTTTGCCCTAGCACATATGTTTTTCTAACAAAGTTTTAGTAAAATTTATACTTCTTATAACCGACTATGCCTAATTTCACCCTCCAGATGAGCACGGAATGAATCTATTTCCACAATGCCATTCTTATGTGAGAGCCAAAAACTTAAAAAAAACAGCCACAGTACCCCCTCCCATGCCTGCCTCAAATGTGGTAGCTTTCCATACCTCCCTCATTCAGACTTTACTTCTGTAACATGGTTTCTAGATTTATGATTGTTGAGGTTATACTTCCAAGAAATTTTATATATAGTGATTCTCATGAAAAGTTAAATTTAAAAGTAGATAGTGAAAAAGCAGTACCGTACCATGGGCAGCCAGTAGAGCAAAGGTCCTATTGCATAGATGACTATAAGGACGAAAATGCAAGATATTAGACAAGCCACCTGTAAAATACAAGACAGACAAAAAGGAAAAAGAAAACCTTGAACTTTTTTATTATGTCAAAGTTATGGGGTGGGGGGATAATTCTTAGTTTATCTTGATTAGAAGAAACAAAATGTTGGCACATAACTGTTAAATTGCTTAGACTGTCATTATCTATATTTTGCAGCTGAGGGAAGTTAAATGTGACAGCTGACAAACTGGTGCAATCAAATTAAGTCAGTGATGAGAGAAAAGCAATTTCACACAAAGAAATAGGACACCATCAACTTTTATCACACATCACAGCGATGGCTTTTTTGTTTAATAGTGAAAGTGACATTTCAATTAAAAGTTCTTTAGCCTGTTGGTGTTTAGCCTGACTCCCCTCCTTATTTTGTAGGAGGTTGTTTGGGCAATAACTGAATATGTGGCTTAGGGTACTTCTGTGCTGATAATTTCCACTGAAGCATTTACCCTCTTATTTGGAGTTCTTTGTTAGTAAAGGCTCCAGTTTTGAAGTAGTTATATGGGATATGGGAGTGATCTCTGGCAGTGGAACAGGCTTCATTTTACTAAGCCTGAAAGGCCATTAGTATCATGTTCTAACCAGCCAGCCTGCTGACAAAAGGCAATTCAATTCACCTGACTCCTACAGCCATATTCCACTTGAAGAACTTGATTTCACAGAAGCAAATGTTCAGGACTTAATAAAACATTTGGCCAAACTGCCTTCCTAACAAGAGAAAAGAAGGCTTTCACAGGGTCACGAAGATGCCTAGAACATCATTATAGAGATATCAAAGGGAATTTGGACCTAGTAGAATTGCTTTAATTAAAAATAAATATATAAACAATCAATATCAAAAGCTGGCAAAAACTCAGAGCAACTGGAATTCTCAGGCATTGCTAGTGGGAAGGCAATATGGTACAGCTACTCTGAAACAGTTTGGCAGTGTCTTATAAACTTACACATACACTTACCTTATGACTCAGCACTGGCTAAGAGAAATGAAACATGTCCACGTGAAACCTAAATATGTATTTATAGAACTTTTATTCATAAACACCAAAATCATAAATAACTAAAATATCAACCAATTGGTGAATAAATTGCAGTACATCTATACAATACAACTCAGCAATTAAAAAAATATTCAAAATCATTGAGCTAATGAAAGAACCTAAACACAAAGACTACATACTGTAAGACTTCATATATATGACATCCTAAAAAAAGATAAATTATAGGAAGCTAGAGGCTGAAGGTAAAGGCAAAGAATTAACTACAACGGAGTATGAGAAAACTTTTTACGGTGATAGAAATATTCTATATCTTGATTTTACTTGTTATACAGCAATTTTTTTTTCAAAAAAGTGAACCATATACCTTAAAAGGATAAATTTTACTATATCTAAATTATACTTCCATAAACCTTATTTTTAGTAATAATAAAAAAAAAGAAACCTGGGAAGAGATCTCTAACAATTGCTTACATGCATATGTCCACACCCAGGGTCAGCCCAGCACCAGCACTTGTCCTAACCTGGTACTCTTAAAAGGTGTATATATGGGAAGAGGGAGAGTGGAGTGGCAGTAGCTGTAATTATTCTGCTAAGCAAGCAGTCGTTCAGGGCCTTTCCCTGTTGGGAGAGGCTGAGGGAGTTTGTTCTCCCTTCTATAGTTTGTGTAACTCATCACAAACACTCTTCAGCATACAAAGGGGAAAAACAATTCTTACCTGGGAATTAAATCAGTAGGGGAACTAACGATTGCCCATAAAAGAAGTTATAGTACACCAAATTGTCACTACACTGATCATTTAGGAGTAATTGGTGATTTTACGTAAGAATTTTTAAACAATAAAATATGATGCCTGTCATTCTACTAGACTGCAAACAGGTAGGTGTCAGAGTGCAGCTCACAGGATGCAGTCAGAGAGCTCAGTCAGTGATCCAGTAAATCCATGTTTACATGAAAAGAAAAAAATACTAACAGCTAAGGTTTATTGTAAGACAAAAGACAATGGCATGTACCCTTTTTGTGGGACTTTTCACTCATATCTTTACAATGTACCTGACAGCAAAGCCCTAAATCTTAGGAGATGGAATGAACTTTGGACAGTTGCAGTTGCAACTACTTGGAAGGATCTGAGACACAGAGAGGCAAGGTCATTATGCCAAGGTCATAGAGCTAGGGAGTTTGAAAGCATGAAGGTAATATGAAATATGTACTGAATTGGGATCCAAGAACACCAAATATATTTTAAGGTTCCTAAATTTATTATAATACACTAAAGCTGTTATAGAAATTACAACCTAACCAAATAATTCTATTTTAAAACAGTAAATCACAACTACATTTGGGCTTTTCTCTAATAATATTTATCTTTTATTTACATGGTGCTTTGTATGTTCATCAACAACAATTGAACTACAATTTCAGTCTTGTAATCAAAATAAGTCAAGAGTTAAATGGATCTTACTTGGCAAAGAGTGACAAACTATGGGTGAAAAAGACTTTGTTTACCTTTAATGGTAAGTCATGTAATGAAATAGACCATAAGCAAATGGATTATGTTAGCTCCCTTAATGCACTTGCCTTATCATTGTTGATGCCCTTGGTCAAAAGATAAGTTCATCTAATCAGACAAGAAACTCTTACCAGCTCTGTGTAGCGTATATACTCTCCAGTCATGGAAATTAATAATATTATAGTGTCTGCCCTCAAAGCTCTCAAAATACTGGTATTCATTCTCTTCATAAAGAAGAAGCCAGGACACTGATTTTTGGATTTGTAAAAATATCTTTGAGATTATGCAATGAAAGCCATCATTCCATAATTAGCCAACTCAGTAAATTCAAAAAGAGCTCAAATTAAGATCAGATATTTGTAGTGTATAAAATAGAATTCTCTAACTTCAGGATTCCATAATAACCCACTTAAGCTGTATTTCAAGTATCATCTACTTTCTTCGTATATTTTACTTGGCATATGAGGTAATATTTTCTTGCATTGCTCTGACCTACCTTGAGAAAAATTTGAAAAACAAGTTAAAACCAGAACAAAAGAGATGAGCTTGTTCCTTTTTTAATTGCAGAAAACAAAACAAAACTAGCTCCTTCTTAATAAGTTTCAGGTTGACTTCTACTGCAATTAGTAAAGCGTTCACACAATTACCCACTGGGCAAACACTGGCTAGGATTTTACTCTTTAACTCTTTCTTTCCATGTCATACCAACTAAATGTCCAAATATATTTTTGCTTGAAAATCATAACTACTGATATTTAAGAGTTAACTCTGCATAAAAGATAATGAAATAATCTATATTTTATTCTTATTATGTTCTCAAACAATTATTTTATATCCTGTATGTTAGTTACAAAGATGACCGCACATGCATTTTTATTAGCCATACCTATATATTTGGTTGGGAGTGGAGGGAGATACCAGTCATTTACTTCCTAAGTAGTTGTCAAAGAATGCATAAGTAGTTCTTGAACTCGCTGCATGCGTAGTCTTGTGGAAAGTAGTGGAATGGCAAAAGAAATGGGAAAGGGCAGAAAGAAAAAAACAGAGAGATGACATTGGATAACTAAAGCTAGATTAAGAAGGTTTTAAAGGAGATGAAAGCAATTAGCCAAATTTTGAAAGAATAAAGGAATACAGTTTGGTGAATTAGAATGCGGAGACAATCTCAGTGTTGCAGAAAAACATGCCAGCTGTTGTTTTCAGTCGTGGCTGAGCTGCCTGTGCAGCAGACGCAGTCTCTCATCCCTCCTGGTTATGCCTCCCGAGCTCCCTGCAGAGCACCAGCGGATCTCCTCTGTTGGAAGTGAAGAGAAGCATGCAGGGAAGAAAGCCAGGGGACACTGAGCTGCCTCCCATACTTAACCGTTCTTTACAGGGAAGGAGAAAAGGAAGAAGTGTAACATTTTTTTGTGCTATTTGTCTAATCTGTGCCACAAATTTCTTAGTCTCTTAAGGGCCTTTCTCAGATACGCATGCTTTGGGTGTCACATCTAAAAGGGGTCACTGTAAAAAGGATTTCTTCATAAAGGAAGATAGAATTGTGTGTAATAACCAGGGCACTTGGTATCAAATGATCAGTAACTCTTGTTCCAATTCAAACATTTGGTTTCATTTTCTAAAGCACTGAAAGTCTTTACCATCAGCTCACTTCTAGATAAAATTGTCCTAAATTCACTGTCAAAACAGCCACATATGGCTTTTGAGGACTTGAAATATGGCTAGTTCATATTAAGGTATACCGAAATCTAAAATACCAGATTTTGAAGCCTTGAACCAAGAAGAAAGCAATGTTAAAATATCATTAATAACTTTTAAATTATTAACTTTGAAATATTAATATTAAAATGATAATATTTTGACTCCGCTAGGTAAATTAAAATATAAAATAAAAATTATCAATTTCTTGTACTTCAAAAATGTGGCTACTAGAAAATTTAAATTATCTGTGTAACTCATATTATGTTTCTTTTCAATAATGCTTCTCTAAAGTGTATGATCCTAAGCCTGGTTTTAAATGGGATTTTTTATAAATGTGTGATATTAAGCAGTAATTAAAAAAAAAACCTGTCCAGCCTGACTAGTCTCTTCTAATGTCAGCAAAACTGGTAGTTTTCTCTTACAGTTATTGGAAGCTCTCATTTCTCATTCATTCTTTTCTGTAGTAGTTATCTAACACCTACCACATGCCAGGTCCTGGGCTAGCCACTGAGGATACACTGAACCAAACCAGACAAGGTTTTGTGTTCTCCAGTAGCTTTAAGTCAAGGATAGACGGGTGACATCAATCACATAATCACACTAATGAACATTTAATGTCAAATAGCACTAAGGACGTTGACAAAGAGGAACACGACAGACCCAGAAGTGGCAGTGAGATACGAAGGATGGGAGGAATTCACATAGAGAGGAAGGGAAGGGCAGCCTCAAAGACAAAGGGAACAGACACTGGAACCCACAACAGCTGGAGAAGGACTAGGTCTGAGAATGAGGTGGAGAACAGGCCAAGAGGACGCTGTACCAGGAGGCACTCAGTGCCTGGTAGACAGCAGAATGATCTGAATTCTAAGAGCCATGCAAAGCCTTTTAAGGGCTTTAAGCAAAAATAACATGCCCACATTTGCATTTTGTAAAGATAACTTTGCACAGAAATACCATTTCTACAGAAATACCAGAAATGTTTCTGAGTAAAAGTCAGTTGGTAAATTCATTAACAAGTGTAAGATGATTATCACTGATCCTTTGATTGGTTGTCATTAGCCTAAAAATTGAAGATTGTTTGTCATCTATGTCAATTTACGGGATATAAATCTAGTCCCTAAGAGAGTCAGAGCCATTTAAGGGGTTCTTCTGTGAAGTCATGTTACATAGAAAATTGCTTTCACAAATAGCCTACTTAGAACAAAACTTTTAAGGCTTGGCTTGCATAGTGCTTTCTCGGAACCATGTCAGTTATCAGTTTTACCCACATAAACTTAACACTTGCAGTGTTAAAGGTCTGAAATGACTACCATGGGAAAGCATCTTCAATTTGAGTATGCACATTAAATCAGATTCTTTCCCTGTGCAATTTAATGGGAGCTGTAGAAAAGATTAGTGACCATCTCAACAAGCAGAGGAGCATGAAAATATTCTGCCACTGAGCTTTGTTTTCCTGGACTAGTGTTTTGTCAGATATCTTTCATTTCTTTTGAAGTCTGATGAGTAGAATACCAAGCAGAAAAATAAATTCCTATTAAATAAAAAGTCCTTAGAAACATTCTGTTGTACTAGTCATTCAAACGTGTGGCCTCCAGAACAGAGAAGAGAAGGGGCGCTGCTTTATCCGAACCATATTAAACAAACATAGGTACACCCAACTCAAGTAAAAAAAAAAATCCCAAATTTAAAATAAGTATAAAGCTTTCTCAAATTATTCTCTTTCAGACACACAATATTAAAGATTACAAAGATGAATCGTATAGATTGATTATTACTAAAATAGTAATTAGAAAAGCAGGGAAATGCCTAAGGAAACCCCAGTTATGGAACACATTCAAAGTGGAAACACTTCGAAGATTCTATTTCAACCTTCTCTGCCCACGTGATAAATGAATATGTTAACTTGCTCAAGATCCTGCCGCACAGTCAAGGGGCAACTTGGACTAGAAAACTGTCTCACTGCGTCTCGACCATACCAGGATGTTTTAATATCAAATGTTAAGAAAAGGTTCTAAACATATTTAACTATTTTTTAAATAATACTAATAATAAAATCAATGATCATTGTTAACATTTTAAGGACATTTAGTGCTCAAGCATTGTGTTAAATAAGCATTATTTACTCCTTTAGTTGTTACAGTAATTCTACTTTAACAACCAAGTCTACTTATGCCAGAGAGGTCAAGTTACTTGTGCAAAGTCACTTCACTAGTGGTGGGGCCAAGGTACAAGCCCAGGCTCTGGAGCCCAACACCGAACCACTCACTGTGTTTATTGAACCTGACTATGAAGAGAGAAACATAATACATTCACTCTGGTAAGAAACCAGGAAGAAATTACTATAGAATCCAGCTGGCACAATAACTCACACCGGTAATCCCAACACTGGGAGTCTGAGGTTGGAGGATTTCTCAAAGCCAGGAGTTCAAAATAAGCCTGGTCAACAAAGCAAGACCCTTATCTGTACTAAAAATTGAAAAAAAAAAAAAAAAAAAAAAAAGGCAGGTGTGGTGGTGCATGCCTGTTATTCCAGCTACTCTGGATACTGAGGTGAAAGGATCACTTCAGCCCACGAGTTTGAGGCTACAGTGAGCAGTAGTGGTGCCACTGCACTCCAGCCTGGGCAACAGAGCAAGACTCTGCCAAAATAAAAAAAAACTGCTATAGGAACCTAGGATTTTACAGATAGAAGAGTCATCAGAGTAGGGAATAATATTTAAGTTCACTGCATATTAAACCTTCAAATTTAGATCACAAATATTTGAGAGTATAGTTTGCAAAAACATTTACGCCACTACAAAAGATGACCCTACGGTTGAAAATCCTAGCTGTGTAAAAATCCATCAGATTACTTGTGCCATATAAACCAAGGTTGAATGAGGATTTTACTTCTTAGCTGATGAGTTGTTGCAATTATTTGTCAAATTACAATACATTCAGAATTGGTTACTGCTTCCTTTCACGTACTCTATGATACACTGATATGAGTTTTATTAGTTGGTTTTATGCTATATTTTAATTTAAATCTTTAAATTAAAAGATTCAATTTAATCCCAGTGTTGGGATTACCGATGTGAGTTATCGTGCCTGCTGGATTCTATAGTTATTTCTTCCTGGTTTCTTACCAGAGTGAATGTACTATGTTCTCTCTTCAGAGTCAGGCTCAATAAACACAGTGAGTGGTTCGGCGCTGGGCTCCAGAACCTGGGCTTGTACCCTGGCCCCACCACTAGTGAAGTGACTTTGCACAAGATTTAAAGATATTTTAATATCTGTTGATCACTTGCCCACAAAGTCAAAAACCACATACTTTTCAAAATTAATTATTCCACAACCTAAAAAAGTATTTAATATGGAAGACTCCCAATGAATGTGTGAAATGGCACAAATAATGTTTTAAAGGTTCTCATTTAATTCCTATCTTAAACATAAATTGTTTTAATAACGGTTAGCTGTTAATGTTAATTTTTTACACTAAGATACTCATGATTTTTCTTATAAGAAATAGTGGCTAAGGACACAAGTTTTGGAGCAAATCTATCTGGGTTCCAATCTCAGCTCTGTCATTTACTACCTCTATGACCTGGGTAAGTTACTTTAACCTTCTTTTCCTCAACATTCTCATGTAGAAACTGAGGATAATAATTACACCTCCTTCTTAAGGTTGCCTAAATCATTAAAGGTTTAACTTTTCATAGGATTAAACAAGTTCATTTATAACAAAAGTATGACAGCCAATGCCTGGCTCACAACTCAATATCTTTTCCACCACCGCCACCATCATCATCAATAGCATCATCTTCATCACTAGGATTGTCATCATCATCATCATCATCATCATCATCATCTTACCAGTACCCAGCAGAATGCCTGGTATATCACAGGCTCTCAATACATGTCAAATTGATTTGAGTTCCTAAAAAATATAATAATTGTTTAACCTAAAATATGTGCTGATATCTTATTATACATTTAAATACCTGTACAACTCTATAGACAGAAATTTCAGTGTCAATGACTGATTTCTTTTTCATATAATCTATTTTATTTATTTAAAGGAAGTTAAAAATGGGAAAACGTCATGTTGACCATTTAGATTAGAAAGAAAGAAACAGAGAGGCACCACTAGAGGGAGCTTTGGCCTCAAAGGTTGCTAACCACAAAGCTGCAATCTGTACAGAATTTTTTAGTTTGCTTGTTGAATCCTTAGCTTTCGGAAGTGTCATTTATAGGAAAGAGATGAGAGAGAGAAGGACTTTCTTAAAATAACTTAGAAAAAAATTAAATTATTGAAAATAGTTTCGGGCTTTAAAGAGAAGCTAGCTCTTCCCACTCTCCTAGAATGGGAGTAAAGGCCTAGCAGAACTTTGTCCCTGCGGAACAATTCAGTTACCTGTGTCTTTGCTCCTGTGCTATACAGGCCAGCAGTCCTTCCCATGGCAGCAGCACTTGGTATGCAGAAGAAAAATGAAGACACTATATTGCTGAGGCCATGGGCCAAAAATTCCTGCAAGATTTATAATGAGAGAATATATAATATCTTAATCATAATCGACTTTTAGAGACTGCAGGTACAATTTGTCACATAATGAGGCTTGTTTGTATTCAGATTTTGTTCTCCCCACCAGTTGGGATTTAACAATTACAATACAAATAGCTAACATTTATTGGGTGCTTACAATGAGCAAGAAATTGTTCCCAAGCACTTTACTCTTTTAATCCTCATAACAACCTTATAGGGAAATACTATTTTTTGTAATGCTCTCTGTCATCAATTTCTCCTCCATCTTTAAGTCACCACAGTCAGGTTTTTCTTCTCATCATTTCACAAATGACCTTCACAATGCTAAACCAATTATTCATTCTTGGCTTCCCTTGCCTAAAAGAGGCATTTGGCTGAGCATGGCAGCTCATGCCTATGATCCCAGCACTTTGGGAGGCTGAGGCAGGATGATCTCTTGAAGTTGGAAGCTTGAGACCAGCCTGAGCAACATAGCAAGGCCCCATGTTTTAAAAATGAAAAAAAAAAAAAGTTGCCAGGCATGGTGGTGCATGCCTGAAGTCTCAACTACTGCGGAGGCTAAGGTGGGAGAATGGCTTGAGCCCAGGAGGTTGAGGTCGCAGTGAGCCATGATCATGCCACTCACTCCAGCCTGGTCAACAGAGTGAGCCTTATCTCTAGAAAAGAAAAAATTAAAATAAATAAATAAATGGAGGAGCTAAGCAGGTATTGGAGAGAACAGAATTCCCAGAAAAGGGAAGAGCAAGTGTAAACATCCATAGCCAGAAGCATGACTAGTGGGTTCAAGGAGAAGCAAGGTGGTGTTGCTAGCACAGAGTATAAAAGGGTATGAGACCAAAGAGGAAAAGAGTATTTGCAGGTTATGTAGAGCCTTGTAAACCATGAGAGAGGCTCTTACTCTGAGTGTGACTGGAAGTCACTGGAAGGTTTCGAGTAAAAGAAAGACATGGTCTGCGTTCCTCACCATTGTATCCTTTGTACCTAGACTAGTGCCTACTATATATTAGATTCAACATATATCTGTGGAATGAATAAATCTGCTTTTGTAAAGATGAGAAAATTGGCGCACAGAGAAGATTAAGGTCACATAGTGTGAAAACGAGATTTGCACACAGGTAGTTCGATATTCATAAACTACTACACTGCAACTTCTCTGTAGACCAGCACAGCTCTGTAGAACCACCATGACAGGACTTGAAACAGGACACGGGCAAACACATTTTCAGAAATATGATCAGTGTAATCTACATCCCTTGGTATTCTAAGAATAGACCCTCACATTCTTTAGGTTTCTTTTACTAAAAGTAATACTAGTGTTATTTGTACTTAGAAATCCAAAATTATTAAACATTAGCATGCAATAATAAATCTGTTTGGATTCTCTCCTAAAAACAAATCAAAAAGAACATCATGATGCCTTTTATTTTAACAAAAATGAAAGGTATTATGAACCATCAATGCCAGGTTTTTAGCTTCCTATGAATGATTTTGATATTTTTGTTTTGTTTTGTTCAACCCACTCTTGCTATACAGTTAGGAAAGTTTTATTTTTCATAAGTTCAACATTTTTAGGATCTGGGAGTGCACAGTGCAGTGATACAACTGGAATGGAGAGGGGCTGGGGGCACACTCCACCTGGTTGTCATCAATTGAATATTTGAATTTTTTGGCAGATCCTTGAGCAAGAGCCAGTGAGGCCACATAGCCTACAAGTGCCACTCCAAAAGCTTCAGTGATTACAGCAGAGAGGATGTTCATCGGGGGAGCTCTAGGTGAAGGAATTCTGTGGAAAGAAGGACCATATTGAAGTCATCAAACTTTATGTAATTTCTGTAACAACTTGCAATGAATTTAACTGTGGTAATGACTCTGAAGTTTACATAGACTAAGTGAAATACCCATGAGAAAACCAAGCAGCCTTGCCCTTAGAAGCCCTTTGTTTTCAACATTATTTAGCAGAAAAGCAAAATTACAAGGAACACCACAGGGACAGCTCCATGCATTTAACTGGCATTTACGCCCAGGGAATTCAGATTACACCACAGAAATTCTGACTCTACAGAAATTTCCTGTATCAGAACAAAAGCAAATCTGGAGCATTCCTTCATTTGAACCTTTCCAAAATTTATTTGGCTGGTGTTGAAGACTGTATTTCCTCCCTTGAATACTACAGTGCTGTATGCAAACACTGGTTTACTGTGAGCTACAATTCTTGAGTTAATCCCTAAATTTGCCATTGAGTTCATTATCTTAACTATGTTTTTTAACTCAATCCTTTCACAGTACACTTAACTATACCTTACATCCATTAAGAAAAATATGTATAAAGGCTCCATCTAACTAACCCTCTGTTTCAAAATATAGGAGCATAGTTGTTTTTCCATTTCAAAGAACTGTTTAAAATATTTTTCTCAAATAATACCCAGCCCTTGTCTAATTGTTTTTTGAAAACCACTTGAGCCAAATTATCATTATTTATTTCTCCCTGATGATTCCTTGGGAGACTTACCAAATAAATAAATAAATAAATAAATAAATCCCTTAGGCAATAGTGGAAGAAAACTGGAAGAGAATTCATGTTGATTTTTAATACCCGGTATGTAAGTAGAATGCTTGGCCCTTTCATAATACCTATTTTACTTAATTCTCCCAACAACCTCCAAACCAAGCATCATTATACCCACTGTATGGAGGAGAAAACATTTTGAGAAAGGTTAGGTAATAGTTATCTAACATCACAAGGTGAATGGCAGAGCTGGAATGCAATCTCAGCTCCACTTCTGTTCAAAGCCATGTTCTTGTTATAATTCCTCTAGCAGAAAGGTCTGGAAAGATCACTCAAAATAAAGGAGAATTAGAGGTGATGGAGGAGAGGCACACTTTTTTTAATTTTAACCCACCGACTTAAGTAAACCATTAAGACAAATTGATTTGTATCATTACAGGTTATTATGCTATACAAAATCATTTCAAAGTAAAATAACTTAGTTTCATGAAGACTGAGTGAGCCTAATTATTAACAACAAATTGGCATAAAAGGAATAGCAAACTGACTTTCAAAGGTAGAAAAGCAGGAATCTTCGAGAAAATTCAATTTGATTCATATAATCAACATTAGCCTATGTCTATATGTGATAGAAACAGGATTTTTAACATTCCCTTTTTAATTCCTGAGAATTTTTCTAGTGTTTCTCCATCTTCATGTAATTAGAAACCAAAATTTGGGATTGGAAGATAAAAATTTATAGGATTCAACAATTGTAACTTTGCCCCAAATTCATAATTATCAGTGTACATGTAATGCAGCCCATTCAAAGGGAGTAACCCATAAGATACTGTCCTCCTTCCCTCATATATTTTCATTTTCTTTCAGCCCATATGTGGTACAACCTTTTGCTCATTTAGGGTGAACATCTCTTTTGTTAAACTCCTTCTTAGTGGCGAGAGGAAGGCTAAAGGCCAGCTAGGGAACTACTCCTTCTCCACTTCCACTCTTTCATGATTATATACTACCCAGGCCTAGGGTTTGCTATTTCAGATGATGCTTGTCTACTTTTACTATGATTTAACTGAAATGAAAATAGTCATAGAATATGTGTGGTGGGGAAGAGATAGGGCTGACTAAATCCCAGATCATAACTAATTTGCAAAGTCAATGCCCTCTATTTTGTTAATAATATATTTGCAAATATTTCCCACACCTTTTACCTGAAGTAATGCTGTATAAAGAAATTATCAACATCCTTAGTAATAGGTGAAGTCTAGGAAGTTACTCTTTCTCGACACATGAAGTGTGTATTTCTATCATTTTGTAATAGAAATTAATTAGAATTAAGAAATGAAATATTCATACCCACCCACTCCCTGTCCCTTTCTCCATCAAAAATAAACAAACAAACAAATAATATTTTTTTTAAAAAAACACTACATTACCCTTGTGGAATATGACCAACTACTTCTAATCCGTATGTGTTTTCCATATTGGTGCAATAACAAGCAAATGATGCAGCAATAATCTGTGTGGTTCCATTTGCAAAAAGAAAAAATATACATTAATGACCTCTCAAACACCTTCAATTTTTAAAAGTAAACATTGTTATCATGTCACATAAACATCAAGAATAATCTAGCAGTTGCACAGACTTTTAAAAATAAACAAAATATTAAAAGTCAAGAAGTCACTCAGTTTTGAGAGCACTGACAGTCTCCAAATTAGATGACATCCCAATCATATGGCTTTTCTAATATCTTAACCTTGTCAACTCAATTATGTCCAATTTTGAAGGGGAAAAACTACAGGATGCAGGAGTGTGTGTGTGTGTGCATGAAGACAGCACAATCCAACCTAAATACTTGCCTCCCATGATATGAAGGGATGCTTCGTAAGACAGCACGTTTTCTCTCCATGACAGCAGCCTTTCAAGAGTTTGAGATATTGCATCAACATTCCTAATCCATGTTAGTAATCAATGATGATTTACAGTCTCCTTGAATATTTTTAAATTTTTAGCTTTTACAATTTCTTATAGTGAAACATGCGGCTTCACAGCCTGCTGGGCTCAATGCTTTTAAAATGACCCCTATGGAGCTTCAGATACCCTATCCTTCTGTTACTGACATATGCTAAGCAAGGTTATATGTTCCCTGCCTATACCCATAATCATCTTTAATATGCATATCAGAGCCCAGTTCACCAGCCACTGCAGTCTACTGTTTTCCATCGATTTTCATTTTTCTGATAATTTTAATAGATATTAAAAATTTCACATGATTATGGTATCAGTTTGGAGTAATTCGTCTTGTAAAAGAGACATATCAATAATTCACTTAAAGTACAAATTTACAATATACATGGCCAGAAAAAAGTATAACAAATTCACACTAGCAAAATAACGAATATCTAATAATCAATGCCCAATAATATAATTTTGTAGGTTTTTCCCCTATTCCTGTTGTTCTGTTCTCTGTGATGATATTTAGCTGAATTTGCAGAGGTTTTTAAAACATGAAATAGGCTTAAAAAGCAAAACACCCTGAAGACTTAAAGAAAAAGATAAAAAGCAACAAAACCATAAAGGTGATATTGTTAAACTTTATAAATATTGTGATACAATAGTAGCATTTTCTAAAGAAGCTAGTAGTAGCTAAAGATTCAGGCTATTAGTTTAGAATCAGACATATTAACATATTTAAAAATTCCTATGCCAATTAATAAATTATAATTGCTCATAATCATCATGAAACATCTATTCTAGGTCAGAAAATAATGTGAGTTGTAAAGAAAATATGCCATAGCTACAAGATACTGGATTCTTACTGAAAATTGAAGTATACAGGATGTTTGATACACAATTAATATTAAAATTAAGTGCTCTAACTCACTGAATTAGCCTTTCAGATAGTGTTTTATTCCTCGCTGTATTTCTTTACCAAAATTAAACTTTCCTTATCAGTTGAGTAATTGGTCCTTCTTCAATATTAATTCAATATGTGTGTATAAGGCCAGTACTGCCCTTAGACCTGGGCAAGAGGGGATTGCACCCCAGGTGTGACTAGTGCTTTAGAGCAGCAGTCCCCATCCTTTTTGTGCAAGACAATTTCTTCATGAACAGGGTTGGGAGAGGAGGTGGGACATGGTTTGGGGATGATAAAGCTGTTCCCACCTCAGATTATCAGGCACTAGGTTCTCATAAGGAGCACGCAGCCTAGATCTCTCACATGCACAGTTCACAACAGGGTTTGTGTTCCTCTGAGAATCTAATGCTGCCACTGATCTGACAGGAGGCGGAGCTCAGGCAGTCATGTTCTTCTGCTGTGTGGCCAGGTTCCTAACAGTCCATGAACTGGTACCAGTCCATGGCCCGGAAGTTGGGGACCCCTGCTTCCGAGGGTTCTAATCTGACTTCTTCCAACTGTAGACTTTCCCACAAGAAGAGAGCTCTGTGGGAGTAGGGAGTTTGTGCCCAACTCAAACCTGTACCCTTCTTTCTGAACCACAATCTGGATACTCAAGAATCTATCATTCCTTGCCCAAATGGCCTTCTGCCTGCTTGCAGGGCACCTTCTGGAAGTCCATCCTCCCAGGGTAGCTCAAGAAAGTTGGCAAAGAGATAGTCGTAGTGGTGATGGAGTGGCGATGTGTTTGGAGCCTGGACGTGAGGACAGAGGTGTCCACACATATACATATGAATCCCCTGGCAGGTGGGATAGAGCTGGAAAGTGAAGAGAGGGAGCAGACCAAGAGTCTGGGTCTCCCCACTCTGCCCCATACTGGCAGAACATAAATGACTAGGAAAATTCTCTGTTCTAATCCGGCTTTCAAAGTCATCACTAAGGGATATTTGTCAATATAAGAAAACAGAATCTGTTATATTTAACATTTTGATCTATAACTTACAAGTATTGGGGCTCGCATTGGTACTTTTGCCTTGGGTCTTAGAAATGTTAGGGATAACACGTATATAAGGAATACCTTTAATCTTATTGTAAGAATAATTGTAACTGGTTTTGCAGAGAATAAGCAAATGTTTTACTACCAGCTTAACAGCCTTCCTCCCTAAGGTTATTTTCAATTTTTGGTTTTATGAAACTTATGCAATATAGCTTCCCAAGATATAATAAGCATTTCTTAATATCTACAGGACTTCGAGATAAGATGGTATGTTTCACAGTTGTTGCTGTGAAAACTAATAATCATAATACTCTGTATTTTTATGACTTATTTGAAATACACACACATATATATTATATAAATCACATATGTTATATAGATCTCAACAAATTATCAAGAGTATAGGATAATACATGGCCTAGTTATGGAGAGAAGCCTTTTGTATTAGTTGTATAGAAATGAGTCATAGCCTTCAGAGTTAATTTCCAATGTGCTAGCCTTATAATTGTACATAAACCTACATAATTTCAACAATTAGAAGGAATATTTTAATAGATAAAGTTATTTAGACAACATTTATCATATACATGTATAACTCAAAGATCATTAAAATACTAAAGCCAACTGATAGTAAATTAGTAGACTGTGGTTATACGTTAAGATTTTATTTTCAACTTAATTCTTTGTATAGTTAAGAGTTCCCATTAGAGGTTCTTGAAATTTCAGAATATATTTTCTAATGCCACAAGCCTTAGGAGCAAAATGTAATGTATTGCTTTTCCAGGTACAACAAAAACATATTTTAGAGAACCAGCTTTGGCCAATGAAAATCATGAGCATCCTTTCAATGAAGCAAAATTAGGTAAGTAACAAAAACCTTTCAATCATGAATGAACATTTATCAATTGATAATATTTCTATATATATTTCATAGGTGCCATATAAATAGGAAATGATACCATATTTTATTAATTTACAGAAGAACATACCAGAGATATTTTGAGTCTCACCCTTATAAGTACCTCCTTATTTAAGATTTTAAGCTATACGTTTTCTTATTTATATAAAAAATTATAAGCATACGAGAAATGTTGTATAAATTAAAAACATGTGTGCTTTCTTTTTAAAATTATTGACTCAAAATGTTTCCTGTTCTTACATTACTGTATAGCCACGCAAATTAGCCCTGCTTTAATGAGAGACAGGAGTAGCTGAGGGTTACTGTAGACAATATAGTAAGCATCTGCAGATCTCCCCAAGAACTGTCAAGCTTTGTGTGGCGAAAAACTAAATGTTCATTTTATACTTACCAAAACTAAATCGACAGGAAGAACAACTTTAATTTTCCTTTTAAACTGTTCATTCAGCTCTTTAACAAGAACAAGGACCACGATGCTCAGCAAGGATAAAAGCAATGCTTCCAGTCGCACAGACTTGATGTTTTCAAAAACATATGCATAAATCTACAGTAATGAGAAAAAATACGAACAAAATTCAGGGTCACCTATAATATACTAACATGAAAATATGACCCCCAATATACTCAATGATGTTTTATAAAACTATCTTAATGGCTAGGGAGAGGAAAGGTATAGGTAGGAGGGTAGTCAGTGCTAATGCTATATATTTATTTGCATCTACAAAATTTCTGTACCCTTGATTCTTTCATCAAACTCAGGGTTTGCACCTTCCTATATAAGAACACTGCTAAAGAGAATGACTCTTCCGGCTTCATCCCTGACACTTCGAGGGGCAGAGATGTTTAACTCATTATGTATATGCAGATTCATCATTAACAGCAGTCAGGGAACCATGGGTTCCCCAACTTTGGGGCCCTCCTCAAACCCCAGAAGCAAATAAGCACACATATAGATCATACACAAAAGAGTTAAGAGCTGGCATTTAACTGACATCAGATATTTGGCTTCATGTAAAATATTAACATGTTCTCAGTCATTCAGCATTAACTTACTTGTTTATTGTTACTTACTTTATACCAAGCACCATGCCCACTGCGAGGTCTACATAGTAAAAAATTTAGACATTGCTTCAGTATTCACAGAGCTCATGGTCTAGTGTAGGAATTGCTAAGTAAAACAACAAATTAATGCATACAGTGCTATGGACATGGAAAGGGCACCTGAAATATATGACTTAGGGTTTTGAGTGGTAGTGGGCGGTGGAGGGGGGGCTTCTCAAAGAAGATAAATGGGAATTGGCCAGGCCAGGTTATAGATGATAGAGGGAGTAAGAGGAAGAAACCTGACGGAAAATGTTCTGCCTAAAGGGCATATTTGTAAAACTTAGAGTGTAGAATGTGAGGGGAGGGGTGCATGACTTCCTGAAAAGTATGGTCAAGAAATCAATACAACTATTTGTCTTTAAAAGTGTGTAGCCCTGCTTGAAGTTATACCTACATCAAAGAATTTGCCTGAAACTAGGAAGAAAGTATAATACATTAACATCAAACACACAATCTTGGTAATTTGGGATGATCTGATGTGGCAGAAAAGGTAGGATCAATGTAAGAGTAAAATCAACCAAAAGAACAATATTAAAGCCCTTTTTAAAATCAAAGGCTATGTTTCAATTAAGTGCCAATAACTCTTTGTTCAACAGCTTAGAATGTTATTGATAGTTATGTAAGTATCTAATCTACTAGCACGAAAAAGATAGGTTGAGATTTTAAAGAACCCTAAATTAGGTGCTGAATAATAATAGCCAGCCAAATACAATCTATCCTCTACATGAATGTTTGATATAAGGAAACTCAACTGGAATTTTGTTGTCTGGAAATTTAACATAGTGGTTCTCAAATTCATACGGAATATTAAACGCACAGAGTATATTAGAAAATGTTGCAAGAAAATATTTATGGGTTTATACTAACAAACATAAAAGTATATTTATAATAAGTCAAAACATGATACTAATAACAAAATATATAAGAAAAGGCTGGGTGCGGTGGCTCACCACCTAGCACTGTGGGAAGCTGAGACAGGAGGATCGCTTGAAGCCAGGAGTTTGAAACCAGCCTGGGCAATACAGCAAGACTCTTTCCCTATGAAAAATTTAAAAAATTAGCTGGGTGTGGTGGCATGCCCCTGTAGTCCTAGCTACCCAAGAGCCTGCTGGAGCGGGGGGATCCCTTGAGCCCAGGAATTCTAGGTTACAGTGAGCTATGATTGCACCACTACATTCCAGCCTGGGCAACAGAAGGAGATCCCATCTCTAGCTTAAATATGTGTGTGTGTGTGTGTGTGTGTGTGTATTAAATATATATAAATACATATTAATTAAATATATATAAAATACATATTAATTAAATATATATATTAATATATAGAGAGAGGGTCTCTAACTTAAAAACATATAACATATATATGTGTGTATATATATATGAAAAATTTTTAAACAATAAAAACCCAGAAACACATAACAGTTGCATTATCTAATATTAAAGATTATCCAATATATCATATTTAAACAAAAACTTAGCAGAATAAAATAAATTCTAGATTAAAAGAGGTTAAATGTAAAACCTGAAGTCATAGAAAATAAAGATTTTAAAATTAGCAGAGGACATAAACAGATAACAAAAGAAATATAAATGGTGAATAAACATATGAACAAAGAGCTCAATCACACTAGTAATCAAAGAACTGTAAATTCAAACAATAAGAAAGCATTTTTTCTTTTATCATATTATTAATGATGCTTAAATAATAATAATTTAAATGTGTAATCTGGGGGAAGAAATGGGAACTCTTTTACATGCCCTTGTGAGTATAAATTGTTGCAATCCTTTGGTGATCTGATAACATGTATAGGAAGCCTTTGAAGGCAATACACATGTTAATTAGCTTGAGTGTGGAAATCATTTCACAATGTATATATATATCAAAACATCACATTGTACATTTTGAACATATACAATTTTTATCTGTCAATTATATCTCAATAAAGCTGAAAAAATAAAATAAACACTTTTGAACTGCTCTATTGTTTGCCTTAGCAATTCTACTTCAAAATATTAAGCTATGAACATAATTAAGCTCATGTGAAAAGACCTTGTTACAAAGATATTCACTGAAACATTGTTTAAAACAGCGTTGAAAATGGAAACCATTTAAAGAGTAAAACAAAAGAGAACTGGTTGAATTCTCTAGGTTACATGTATACATATAATAGTCTACATCCATTAAATTCATTATTTTAGACTAAATGTATATTTATTGACATGGAAAGACCTTCCTGTTATAATGCTAAGTGGGAGAAGAAAAGTTTCAAATAAATGTGCATGGTTTGACATTGTTATGGGCTCAGTTGTGTGGCCCCCTCCGAGTTCATATGTTGAAGTTCGAACCCCCAGTGCATCAGAATGTGACTATACTGCAAATAGGGCCTTTAAAGAGGTGATTAAGGTAAAATGAGGTCATATGGGTGGGCCCTAATCCAAAATGACTGGTATCCTTATGAGAAGAGGTTAGAACACAGACATGAACCTTGTACAGAGGAAATACCATGTCAGGACACAAGGAGAAGGCCACCATCTACAAGTCAAGGGGAGAGGCCTTAAGAAGAGACCAAAATTGCCATCACCTTGATCTAGACTTCTCGATCACAGTCTCCAGGACTGTAAGAAATAAAGTTCTGTTGTTTAAACCACCCAGTCTGTGATATTTGTTTTGAAAGCCCTAGAAAGCTAATATAGATATTACTTTTGATGAAATAAAATTTCATGCTTCTAAATATGTATGAATGTATCTGGAATGTTAACAGCTCGGCATAAGAGCTTATTTGTATCTTCCATGTTTTCTCTTCTGAAAATATATCACTTCGATAACTTTAGGGTTTTAAATTGTCCTTATATGCTTATTTTCAAAATGTCTCTCAACTTCTCCTTCTCTTGAACATGCTGAATCCGGTTTTTATAACTTCATTTCTATTTGTCCACAGTGAATTGGTCAAGTCTAGTTTCAGGTGATAAAGATTAGTTTTATTCCGGCACACAGGTTATTCTTATAGTAGCCTAACTTTTTTGTGTTCTTTGTCCTTTCTATTTAGCATATTAAATATAATTTGACCACAACTCAAAATATTGAGTCAAAACATAATATAGATAATGAGTCAAAAGAATTTATATGGACTATATTCCTTAGAATATCATAAAATTCTGCTTAGTAGGTTTCCTCCTCAAAAAACTCAGCCCATCTGGCCCAAGGATCAAAAGCACCTGGTATAAAGGTGGTGCATCAGGTTGAGCCTGAATTCTGCATATTGAATTTTATCATTAACATGTTAACTCTTTTGAGCAAAGAAAATGTACTCAATTAAGTGGAGCCTCAATGGCTGAAAAGAATTAGGATAATAGAATTAGGATAAAGAAAATGTACTCAATTAAATGGAGCCTCACTGGGTGAAAAGAATTAGGATAATGCAGGCTATCCAGACCCCCTTTTATCCATATAGTTAAAGGGACAATAACAAAAAACCACTAGTTATGTAATCAGATACATTAATAAACACATTAGGGGTCAGGAAGCTTTACTTATTTTCTTTTTCACATAATTCTATTTTATTCCATGTTACTTGAAAACAAAAGTAGGTACTACAATATCATCGTTATCTTAGATGCAGATGACATTTTTCCTCTCTGTCTCTATGTTGTGGATGATAACTGTTCACAGGATTTCTACAGAAGGAACAGAGTTCATTACTTAAAGTTGCCCACTACTCAATCAATCCCAGGATAAAAATCCAAAATGAGAAATATTCTACAGGGAATGGGGATAGAGACGATATCAAAAAACAAATTGTCCAAATGCTTTCTGATGATTTTTCATGATTTGAGGATAAAATCGAGAATATTATTTAGACGATTTGTCAAGAAGAAGACAAACATCCAAGTTTTTTAAAGAATTTAGAGAATATCTTTTCTGGTGTTTTGTAGGGTATTAAAAGTATGCCATGACACTGTCTGTATAAGAAAGAGTAGAAATATGAAAAACTTCCAAGCCATACAAAATTTGCTGTAGTGTGCATTTTGAGAACATGTGTTTGCAGTAATAAAAATGACCACCCCAGAATGAATGGAATGAGAAACCCCCCCAGGGTTTTTATTGTCTGTCTGGATTAAACTACAGCTCATCAAGCAAAGCACATCTCACAAGATGCTCCAGAAGAACACGGGGGTGGATAGCTCATTACAATCAGCATGAAGAACACAATAGGAAAGGAGGCTGGTGAGGAGTGTCATTCTAATGACTGTCATGTGGACCCACAGAGAGAATCACAAGCTAAAACAGGCTCATGATAGATGGGTGGCATATGGAAAAAGAAATAGGAATGGGGCTAAGGATAGACATGCACACACGCACACACACCTATTTACATATGCTCATTTAATAGAGTTCCAGGCATCCTAAGCACACATTAAATTTCTAATTTCTGGTATAAATCC